TAGCTCTTTCCTGGGCATGATTACTTCTACTACATCTGACTCATTCTTTAACATCATTGTCAGGATTTCCTAGGTCATGAATCAGGTGAACACAGCAGTTGCCTTACTGTTGGTATTACAGGACAACATTCACCCTATGGCAGCTTCTGTGGAGACTCTGATGGCAGTAATTAGATTTTGTAGGTTCACCTTTCAAGTTCAATGATTAAGTGGCAGTAAATGCTACAAGTTGATAATGTATTTATAGTCAGAGGTGTGCACATGATGATATCTCGATTCCCACATTTGCAGATTCAGTTAGATACTGTTTAATGATAAACAGACATTCCCATGCATGAGAAGTTGGGTTAGATATATTTGATCACTAAAGGAGTGTGAAGCAGAAAAGGAGTGATAAAATTGAAAGCTAAACAACCAAAATTATAATAGAAATGTCTTTTATGCAAAACACTCTTTCATAAGAGAAACATTTCCCTTATTTCCAAGCCCTATTTATTCCCTTTCCAATCCACATGCAAATATATGTTCAGTATTGTGTGTTAAGGATATTACAAATCCCAGGCCCATTAGACTGTCGGTTTACAAATGCTGAATTTCAGGCTTCTTCTTCCAAGACTGGGAGATGTTTATACCACACGCCGTTCATTTGTTTAAGTGAATATTAACTGCAATAAGCTCAGAAAATGACAAGATCTGATCGGGATGTCAAGGTTAAGACTTCTATATGTATTGTGAATAGCTAAGTAAAAGAGAGAAATCTTGGGGTAGGGTCTGCTTTTGAATGACACTGTATAACGTACATTATTGAAGTTCTCACCTAAAATGTCTTTGGTGATTTAGAAGGAATTTCTTCTCTTTTGCTAGTCGGTCTCTCTTTCTCTTAAAAAACCACAATTGCTGACTACAAGCTATAATTGTGCAGCCCAAGAGTACAAGGAGACCATTCCAAGCCAAAACTAATAAGACTGGAACTGAATGCTGACAGGCTATCCTAAATATTTCTCTGAAGAATTTTGGAGTTAGGTTTAATTGTCTATGGTAATTTCTATTGAAACCAATGGGATTTGCCTTTGGCCATTTAAAGAAGAATTTTTCCAGAACGATAGATCTTGTTTTGCAAGGAAATGGTGGGAACTAGCTAGTTTGTCTTTCTGTTCTTCCAAATTTGACACTGAAAGTCTTTTAAGACAATCTAGAAAGGTGGCACCTCAAACAAATAGTATCAAAGGGGCTAATCAAGTTGTCAGCTCTCTGATCTAAGGCACACAAAATAGACACTTGTATGCCGTACCAAAGCTGAGGACAGATTGTTTGATAGCAGAATACATTTGGAGTTCTAGCAGTGACATCTCCTTAGTTTTGACTTAGATAATAATCTCATAAGAAAGCATGTGCCATACCTGAGCATGTGCCAACCTCAGTACCTAGGCAAGTATAAAGCCTACAGAATAATTGTAACTAGGAAATATCTGTGCCCTGCATGCTCTGGGCTATGGCCAGAAAGCATCTGCTCCTGGCATCTCTTCTATGTTTCTATAGTTTTCTTTCTGTTGTTTATTTATTTAAATTAATAATATAATAATATCAAAGAAAGAATATTTCTGAAAGAAAAAAAATTCACATAATCCCACCACCCTAACACAACCAATTTCAATGATCTGTGTTCCCAGTCTTTATCCATATGCACACTTCTTTTTACATATATGTAGTCCCTGTTTGTGTTATTTAAAAGTGACTTCATAGACTCTCTCTCTGAGAACTGGCAGCCTCATTCGAAATAAATGACCCATTGAGGAAGTGAATATAATTATTTACATGATCTTTGAGGTGAGAAATATCCATTATAGACAAACATCTCAAACTATCAAAAACAGTTATACAGAAAACAAGAAGCAATTTATATTTCTTTTTTTTTCTTTTTTTCTTTTAGCAATGGAATGTGCTTCACAGGAGAGATAGATGTGAGGACTAGGTGGTTAAACTGAAACACTGTAGGTGCAATTCACAAGCCTGAAAGAAAGCTGAATAACACAATTAAAGAATAAATACTTGAGTTAAATCTTTTCATGTGACTTGGCCATCCAGTAGCCAAAATGGAACATGGACACACAAATATTTACAATGACACATAGACAAGATCATCAAGAACGAAGTCATTTCCCAAAATGGTAACTGATTCAGTGGGATTATGTCATCCCCTAATCCTCATAGGATTATGACAACGAACTGGATCATTGCTATAATAGTTATGTTCTATTCTTTCTTAAATAAATAATCTTTACTGTGCTTCTCACCCTTCCCTGACTTTTCCCACTGCCCTATTCCTTTCTCAGGCTTTTGAATCAACATTCAAATATGTGCCCACAAATGTCTCAGGGCACACTAGCAACATTAAAGATCTGGATAGACTCACCTGGATTGAGATGAGCTCAAAAAAAAATCAAGGAAAGGGAATAAACTATTAACCACTCTGGAGGACAAGTTGTTTAAGTATCCCAAATATGGATCCTTCAGCATCATTTTGGCATGAGAAACAGTTCCTTTCTAATACTTATTAGAAATATATGTAAGTCTTAAACACAGAAAAAGACTTTAGAATCTCTTCTCATTTGAACATGTACATAGATATAAATTTGTACAAGTAATGCCTATTGGAACAGATTCTTAAAACTTACTACAAAGTGATGATAAATAGGTACCTGGCCCCTCACTGTTAATATGCTGAATAGAGAGCATAAAGAGCAGCCATTTCTCTGCCAACAGTGATCTGAAGGATCACTGCTCCAGGGTCTTTAAATAACAACAACAACAATAAACAATAACAACAACAAAGGATTTTACAACATGCATAGGATGTTAATTGATGTCTTGAACTTCCCAACCAGGGTTTGAACTCTCTGAATTAGCAAAGCGTAACTATCAATTGAATTCTATTTGCATCCCAGGTATTTTGTGGAATTCCCTGGCACTACAGGGAAAATCCTTAATTTCAAAATAAAATAATGTAAAAATTAAGGTTCTTCCTCTCTCACTAGGGAGACCTGACATTTACATTTTTAGGCCCAGATACCTCTTTGCAAAATAAACATGAAATTAATATAATCATTTGATTTTCTTTTCACGTTTGTCTTTTATTCCACGGTGGATATTTTCAGGGAAGGGTCAAGACCCACCCTAATTTTATAATGTAGGAAAATAGGAAATCCACCAGTGGTGTCCTCTCAACATAAATATATGTACTATATGATCAGCCGAATCTCTAGAGAAAGTGCTTTCCTTTGAAGGAATGGGTGGATGGTTAAATGGACAGTGTACCTTATGGAGGAGAAGGGCATATGTCATTGATCTCTTTCCCCTCTTGCTGAATGTAGGTAAACTCTATTAAGATTTTCTATCTCTACAAATTAAGAAAGGTTATATAGCATAGGTTGCTGGCTTTTCAAAGGCTTCAAGAAACATCTTTCTAGAATTCATAAAACTGTCTAGATGCTCAGAGGAGAAGCATATCCATTTCTATGCAGACACCTTCCAGATGTTTTCTACTCTCAGAAGATTAAAAAAATCAACTAATGAATTTTTTAATAAATATATATATATATATATATAATTAAACAATAGTAAAATTTTGGAATTTTCCTAAAGCCACAAAAGGAATTCCGCTGGACTGATAGTTCTTGGGATATATGAATACAGATTAAAATGATTTTCGTGGTAAGCTTTGAGCATCTTTATGAACAGGCTTTAAAAGGACAAAAGCCCAAGTAACTAAATGAGAATACATCATATCCTGAAAAAGAGATTGGAGATATGTAGGGAATACACATCAATTATTTAGAACCAAGTTGACTGGGATGCTGCTTTCACTGACTTCCTGTATCTTACAGAGTCAAATACTTCACTATATCTCTTATCTCTTGATTTTTAAAAAATTCTTAAGTGGTACAAATTGTCAAAATGAATAATTTTTATCACGAAGAATGACAGCTAATGGATCTATCTCCTCACAATGCGCCTATTGTACAATGCCTATGTTACAGGAGCACAAGAGAGGATTAAATTCACTATTATCTTTGCTTATTTATTGTCTTAGTTCTGCGCTTTCCTTTTTGGCTCTCAGAGAAAGCCCCATCTTTGTGTAAGTTAGGTTTCTCCTATCAGGAGATCCTAGTTTGAGGGCCTGGACTCACCCAGAAGCGCTGCCACATTTTCAGTGTGTGTCCTTTTTCTGTTATCACAGAGGCCAACAAGCTGCTTTACATAACAAATCAACTACTACATAAACATTCTTGTAAAATGTGACAGGATCTCCCAATAGAGCTCTGTGTAGACAACTTTTAAAAGCCCATCCTGAACACTCATATTCCTCTCTGCTTTTGGAAAATGTCTTAATGGAAACCTTTTCCAATACAAATGCAGAAAAATAGGTACACAAACCAAGCCACCACTACAGAAGAAGAAAAAATTGCGACTCTATTAGGGCATGGACGTCCACAGCTTCACACAGCACTTGTTCTATTTTTTTTTTCATTTTTGTTTTGTTTTGTTTTTTTCTTTGCTTTTTTTTGTTTCTTTTTTAAAAAAACATTTTGACATCTTTTAATTTTTTCTGGACATCTAATGACAATGCAAGTGAAAAAAACATCACATTGGGTAAGGAGTTTTGAAAGAGGTTCGAATGCAAGAGGGACTACTCTCTAACTTAAAAACAAACACAACACTATGAAGAGGGAGTGTGCATCTTTGAGAAATCTTTTTCTTCAAAGTAAATGCACAAAATGAGGGGATTCACTACTGGCTCTTTCGCTTCACGGTGGAAGTGACCACTTAACGGCCACTTCAACATTGCTGCCCTGTGTGGGCTGCGGTTCAGGGTTACAAATAAATTAAATAGTCTGAGGGAGTAGGAAAAAGGCTTATAAGAAGTTTCTATTCACTTTAAAGGTAAAGAACCCCCACCCCATTTGACTGTCTTTTCTTCCATGTTTCCAGAGTTTTATTTCAGTCTTACTCATCAGGGAGATGGTGAGGGGTAAGGCTCGAAGTTCTAACGGCTACTGTTCTTAATTGCTTCTTTTGCAGCGATAATCAGAGGAGTGAGGCTGGAGAGAGGCTTGGCTAATTTTAAAAATGGATGCTGCAAAAGGAAGGAAGAAAGAGGAATGATTAGAATTCTCACTTTCCAGTTAGTGTAGGGGTTCTCATCCTTCCTAATTCTGCAGCCCTTTAATACATGTCATGGTGACCCCCCCAACCATAAAAGTACTTCTCTGCTACTTCATAGCTGTAATTTTGCTACTATTATGAACCATAATATAATATCGGATATTTGACCCCAAAAGAGGCATGATCCACAGGTTGAAAAATACTGCATGAGCCCACCACCCTTTCAAATTGTATTTTGAACATTCACGGGAAACTATTTAATTTTTTTTAAAATCCCTGATAGCTTTTGTCCAGAATTTTTCTTTTTGGCCCTTCCATGTCATGAAATCCTATGCAAACTTACTTGGCACAGCTAGAAACTCTTCATTATAGACCTTGGAAATTTTCACTCAGTAATGGCCAGACTCTCTACATTTCTTAAACTGATGAATGGTGTTGGAGCTGCTCTCAGACTTGAAAAAGTACCTTCAAGTGCACATCAAAATCAATTTGACTCTGAAACCCTTGGCTCGCTAGCTGCCAAACCCAATAGCTGAGCCTCCACCACGTCTCTTGGCTCATCTGCAAGAATCGGGGCAAGTGAATCTCCTTTCCTTCTTTCAAACATTTGTTTCTTTGCAGATCTGCATTCTGCTACCTCAGATCTTTCCCAGGTGCATGCCTTTTTCAGGTGCATTCCTTTCCCTGTTGCTTGCCTTTCCTCCTTGCATGCCTTTCCCTATTGTGTGCCTTTCTCTGGTGTGTGTCTTTCCCTGTTCATGCCTTTCCTTGGTGTGTGCCTTTCCCTGGTGCAGGCCTACTGACTCTCCTCTTTCCATGCTTACTTCCCCTTCCTACATCTCACTGACTATAATATAGCTCTCATTAGCTTCGTTTGCTACTTAAATTCTTATAGATCTTATGTTCATCACAGTATCAACCCATCATCAGTTTTATAAAGGTATTCCTATGTATCTTTCCCTGATGTCTTCCCTGCACTCCCATCCTCCTTTCCCAGTGGTTGCTGCAGATTTCTTCTAGGGCAGTGGTTCCCAGCCTTCCTTTTAATGTGTTTCATGTTGTGGTGACCCCCAACCATAAAATTGTTTTCGACGCTGTTTCATAATTGAAATTTTGCTTCTGTTATGAATCATAGTGTAAATATTTCATATGCAGGATATCGGACATGTGACCCAAAGGGCTTGCAACCCACATGTTGAGAACCATTGCTCTAGAATATTTGTTGGTCATTTTTAAGTCAACATTTTGAAAGGTATATGAAAATCTCCACAACAGAGTCATTCTGTGTGATATAAGCTACAGGAGCTCCAGAGTCAGAACAATAAAAGACAATTGATTCTATGCTCTATTTATCTGTGTGGTTACATTAATTATCCTGTATCTTTGGCATCCTTGTAAAAACGGTATGAGACATATCAGGCTGATATGTAGTAACAGGCTCAGAAAAAAGTGAACGTGGAGCATTTACAAGTTCATGTTTTGAACCAATGATTAGAGGATTGATTAGAAGATTAACAAAGCATCATTGCATATTCAATATGTTATGACACTATGATCATTTGGAAAGTGCTCACATGTAGCAGAAGATGGATGGTGCAATGGTGCAGCATTTTTGGTTCCTCTAAATAAGATAAGCGGGGATCAAGGACTTTTTTCCCCCAGATGTGAGTTCTTGTCTCTAGGTGGATGTTAGAATCAATTGGAACAGAATTTTCTATACAACGAAGTAGGCAAGAATATAGTGGGTCTACGGTTAGCATTCTTCATACCAATACTGCATGCACCTTTTGGTTAATGGCCTTACATAGTCAACATCACAGCGAGAACAAGCAGTTGTTGTTCTTAGATCCCACATGTCCTGATATTCATCCTGAAGGAATGCTCCCTTTCAGTGAACCTGTTTGTGTACTCCTGGGCATGTGCAGCTTTGTGAAATAAATATATCTTTTAAAAGTCTACGTTAGTTTTCATTTTATGTATGGTGGAAAAGTGGCCAATTCTTGGCTCAAATTAGAGCTCTTTTGCCATTCAAGACTTGTGTGAGCCTCTATTTCCAAATCCGAAAAATAGAGCAACAACTCCCACACATAGTTGTAAGAACTGAATGTGATTATATACATAAAGCATTTGGGAGGTGACAGGGCCCAATCATCATCCTATATATTGATCCCAAGAGCCATTAAAAGGACAAATGTTTATAAAGGCACTCTCCACTGGATGGTATTCACCCAGGCAAGCTGGTGTCTGCCATTTGGCATCACAAACAAAAAAGGGCTTTGATCAGTAAAACAGAGTGGCAAATGTCATGGAAATAATTGCATAATTATATAGAAAATTACCTCTGGCTAAGAGCACCTGTTTAGAAAAAAATCCCTCAGTACCAAAATGTCGTATTTTTTGTTTTGTTTTGTTTTACTTGTAGAATAAGATTTCAGGAAGAACAAAAGAAAAATATAGACTAAAATGCAAATTCTTCTGGAAAAAGGCAAAGCAGCCATGTAATAAATGGGAGATATCTTTCTGTAAATATGTTTCTCTTATTGGTTAATTAATAAAGCACTTTTGACAAATAGGAAGGCAAGATAGGTGGGACTAGGAGACAAGGAAGATCCTGGAACATGAAATGTAGGACCAAGAGGAGTATAGAGGTCTGGACCCTCTCTCCAGTAATGTAAGACCACAAGGAGACACTTAGACTGATAGAAATGGGTTAATATTTAAGACAGAGTTAGCCAATAAGAAATACTATTAACAGGCTAACAGCTTTATATCTAATACAGTGTCTCTGTGTGTTACTTGGGGCTGACATGGCTCTGGGACCATTCTGGCAGGAATACTCATAACAAAATGGCACCTGCAACATGGACACTCAAGAATGTCCACTTAAAACATAACAAAACTTAAAAAAGGATTTTTAAAACAAAATAACAGAGACAAACTAGTCCTTTTGGTAGCAACATTTTTCTCGGCTGGACTCTGTTTTGCTAGAGACAAGCAGAGACTTGGGCAGCTCCTTTAAGAGAGGTTTCCTGACTCAGCATATTGGCAAAAAACCACAAGGCTTTTAAGAAGCCCTGCTAACAACTGAATGGTGTGTATGAGAGCTGGCAATGGCAGTGACCACATCTCCAAGCTGGTAGCATAGACCAAGCAGTGAGCATAGCTCTCTGAACTGGTGGTAAAAGTAGCCCTGCCATCTTGGATAGACAGTAGCTAAAACAGCTGTGGCTTTCATTTCACCAGTGTTGCTTACCAGATAAAAAGAATTGTGGCCAAAAAAAGATAAAGATTTACAGTAAAGACAGATTCAGATTAAGGAAAAACCTCTAAAGGTTTACACTGGGTTCTAAAACATACATAGGCTTGGAAAAGAAATATAAACAGGATAAAGTAGTTTAAAAAATAGTAAGAAAGAGAGTAGCTAGGTGTGGTGGCACATGCCTTTAATCCTAGCACTTGGGAGGCAGAGGCAAACAAATCTCTGTGATTTCAAAGTGAACCTGGTATACAAAGTGAATTCCAGGGCATCCAATGTTACACAGAGAAACCCTATCTCAATAAATGAAAAAAAATAGAAGTAAAAAAAAACATAGAGTAATAAAAAGCCATGTGAAGATGGAAAGTACACAGAGAGTCTGAATACTGTATGCTATTGTGTTGTCTTTTATTGAGTAGAGGAAATAGCAACAACTGTTAAAATAAATGCTGCTGAATTAATCCAATTTATATATTTTAAAAATTCTTTGACTTCCAAATTTAAGTCTAAGGACAGGTTACAGTGGAAAAGAATTTCTATTTTTCTTTCCACAAAAAATAAAAAGCTGTGGAATCCTTCCAGACTAACATGGTTTGATCAAGCAAGATGCCCTGAAACAGCGTCCCAGGTGATCCAACATTCAAAACAGCTGGGACAAGGCAGCCTTGCAGACCACTATAGCCAGAATTTCTGCTTCTTCTTAAGATCCCCAAGACAGTGCCCCCTACTAGCAGGAAGCAGTTTGGAAACAACACCCAAATTCTCAAATATTGTTTATAAATGTTTGTTTTCATTTATATGGGGTTGGTTATAAATAGTTAATGACCACAACCAATCTCTTTTTAAAGGTAAAAAGGGGATTATGGTATAGAAATGAATACTTTGTTTTGGAATGGATTTTCATTTATTGATAGAAATTTAAGGTCAAATTTGTAATATGTATATTTCTCCTCTTGTTTAGGTATTGTATTTATATAACTCATTTAAAAATGTAATTTATTATTTAGTACTGATTATAGTCACCTATAATAGTAAAAACTTATAGTTAAGTTAGTTAGATTTTCTATATTTACAGAAATATATTTCAAATGGGTAGGCATTCTTCAAACCTTTCAACGACCTACAGAATATGGCATTTAAAATGGTTTAGGGTTTTTATTGACATAAATGCTCCTGGCAACACCACCTGCGTCAGAAAGGAAGATGGATTTCAAAGAAATCACTATGGAGTTTGCTCTCAATATGGCAAGACTAGGCATTTGGGCAAGATACTGCTCTTGCCTGGACTGTTTGACTTTATGCTGTATAAACTGGACATGCAGAACCCACAGAAAAAAAGTGACTGCTGAAACAAGATGGACATTTCTGTAGGGTTCCTGCTTCATGGAAGAGTCTGCCAGACATTTTGCAGGACACAGAGAAAAGTTATTGACAAACTGCCAATACAGATGGACAGTTTAAAGTTTCCTACTTTTCGAAAAGTCTTCCAGACACATTGTGGCCTGTAGGCTAAAGAAGGAACATCACAGAAGAACTTTAGGTGACTGACCAGGTAGTGAGATGTGTCTGTCATTTCTAGAGTTTATACATTATCCTTCTGTGGTCTTTGATGGAGTTGAAGACAGATAGCTATTGTTATAGTTTTCCTTAGTTAGGATTAACGATAAGTTACATATAGGACTTTAGACTCACAAAGATAGGATAGATAATAGAATATTTTCTTTAAATCTTGCTAAATGTTCATGAACTAAATATTGTTAACTGTGATTCTTATTTGACAACTGTTTTGTTGGATATCTTACTATGTTGAAGTTAAAACCCTTCTTTTTATTTTAGACAGAAATGAGGAGATGATGAGAGATGTCATTCTGTAAATATGTTTCTCTTACTGGTTAATAAATAAAGTACTGTTGGCAAATAGGAAGCAAGATAGGCAAGACTAGGAGACAAGGAGTATTCTGGGAGATGTAGGAGAGAAGGGTATGAAATGTAGGACTAAGAGGAGTAAGAGGTCTGGACCCTCTCTCCGGTAAGATAAGACCACATGGAGATAATTAGATTGATAGAAATGGGTTAATACTTAAGACAGAGCTACCCAATAAAAATGCTACCCAATAAAAATGCTAGTAACAGGCTAACAGCTTTATATCTAATACAGTGTCTCTGTGTGTTATTTGGAGCTGACACAGCTGTGGGACCAGGCTGGCAGGAAAACTGCCCGTAACATATATTTATGTGTTCATGGTCTAAAATTGAATGGCAGTGGCCTAACTCTCACTTCATGTCTCTCAACAGAGATCTCTTACTGTTTTACATTGACATGAAAAAGTTCAACATAGCAACTCCTTCTTTGTAATTGTCCTATTTCATTTTCACCTGCAGAAGCTCCTTGGCAGATCCTCGTCTATCCACATCCATCTCAAGACAGCGATTTAAGAAGTCACGGAATACAGCCGACAGTCTCTCGGGATTCTGGAGCTCTGGGGTTCCATTAGTGGCTATCAGATATAAGGCCTATAAAGAAAAAATATATCCAAATATATTCAGAATATACATAGTAAAATCGTGGTTATAAGTAAATGTTCTTATTGATACTATAGGTTTTTAAAGGTCCATTTTAGAGAATAACATGGGCATGGTTTCTGTTGGAAAGTGGGAATGAGCATCAGTTGTATTGATTAATAGCTTAAGAGCTGACTGATAAACCTGGTTGGTTATTGATCTGATTTTCCTTCACAAACAGTACTAGTTGTTATTGATGTAATAGAAGTTTGTCTTGTGGATGAACCTTAACAACTGTTGCTAGACCATGGAAGGAAACACAAGAAATAAAAAAATAATGTAATTCCTGGAAAATGTATGGAAGTGAGGAAGACAAAATAAGTCAGACCCAGAGAAACAAATATCATGTTTTCTTTCATAAATGAAAACTAGATTTCCTATAACATGAAAGTAGAAGCGGAACTACTGAAGAAAAGAAAGTGGATGAGTAGTGAGGGACAGGATAGATGAATGGGGATCAGTTATACAAGTACATGCTAGCATATGAATGAAAATGCCTTTCTGAAAGCTTTCACATTGTACAAAGAACATGCCCTATAAAATTGTAAAGATTAAGAGAAAAGTGAAGACAAACCGACTTGTTAAAAGTAGCTCTCTCTGGCATTACAATTACTGGCAACTTGATCTTTAAAATACATTAGAATATATTTTTCAGCTTTTGAATTTTTCTACAATGGACACAATACTTATTATTATTATTAACCTCCTACCCAGAAACATCACTTAAAATGTATTTTAAAAGCTGTGACATCCAATTTTCATCTATTGTACTTTGTCCTCTGAATATTAAGTGTGCTTTTAATCAAACACTGCCTTTTGAGGAAAGCAAAATCCTCAGACTATTTCTTTTTTCAATTATCATTTTCATTTTACTTGCAACACTATTATTTCTACCTAATTTCCACTGCAAAAAAGCCACACATTCAGTTACGTTATGGACTAAACTGGCCTTTGTGAACTGGCCTGGGAACCTAATGACTATGTATAAGGCTGTTTCTATGGGAAAATGTACTTGAGGTTCCAAATAATTAACTTTAAAATGAACTTTTGGAAAACACCCTGTGTGTAAGCTGGAGGCTGTCTTCATAAAAAAGAAATTTGTTACTCACTGCCTTGTTAATGAGACACAAATACAGTTGTAGCCAACACAACAATGACAACAAAAGTTTTATCAGCAAAGGCAAGCCTTAGTTGAAGAAGACTGGAGAAAATAAATTTGGGCATGTGTGATCATATGCCACTTTTAAAGAGCAACTGGATATTCAAGGAAAATGAGCTATTAGAAACCAGACTAGTGATTTTATGGCTAGTTAGTTGCTTCTAGTATAAGCAAGAAAGCACAGGATCATTCCTGGGTTCCCCTGCCTCACACCACCAACCTGACAACTTTTAACAGTGCTTCTACTAGGTTCTACCAATGCAACATTTATCTATGGCTTTCACAGTCACCCACTTTCTTCTATCACCATCATCTTTGCCTGAGATCAGGACTTCTCTCAGACAGCTTTAGTACTGACCTCATGTTCCTTATTTGGATCATTTTGCTCTTAAGCCCACCCCCTTTAACAATTATATCTCCTCGCTTGTTTCAACTTGTCATTCATTCATCTACTTAAAAGGTTTTAGTGACCACCTATCGTCCAAAGATATAGGTTTCACATGGTGTTGCCTCCTATTACTTCCCAAAAGAATTTGAGAAAGGAGAAGGTGGAGAGAAATGGTAGAGATTTTAGAGCCTGTCCTTGAACTAGCTCTGTAGACCAAGCTGAACTCGAACTCATAGAGATATGCCTCCCTCTGCCTCCCAAGTGCTGGAACTAAAGGGGTGTGCCACCAACACCTGGAAAAACTACAATTTTTGAGTTAGCAAGCCCTGGTGTTTGATCATATTGACTACCACTACTCACTAAGGGAGAAATAAGAAAGTCTTATAAGTAGTGCACATAAGGGCATACTATTAAAGGGAGGTATATCTGGATTAGACTATGCATAATGTATTTGATTCAGACAAATGCATAGATGAAAAGGAGATAACAAGTGCTCCCAGGAACTTAAAAAAAATGTGTCAAGAAACTCCACAATTTCAAAAAATTCTCTTCCCTTCCTGGCACTGAACAGGGAAAGTCATCATACTATAGCATATTAGATCATTAACTAGGGTATATTTTTCTTAGGTGAGGCAAAATAGGACCATGAATTATAGACTATATTTATATAAAAATACAATTGGTAAAATTAAAACGGTAGATTTTTTCACTGCATTAACATAACTAAAACTTTCTAGTATTGTCGACATCCCTATGATAACTATAGATATCTTGACAATAACATGCAACCATCGAAGCTTTCACTACCCCTAATGTGCAACTGAATTAACCCAAGTACTAAGAGAAAATCAGTGTATCTAATTGGAGAAATAATTGAATTTTCCTTATTGGCAATTTCCTCAGTTGAGAAAGATCAAAGCCCTCACTGCAAAAATTACCACATTTCTCCAAAGAAGTCTCAAGACAATCCATATGTAACCCATAAATTTCCATTAAGTCTATGCTGAAATAGTACTTTTTTAATTAAAAAGCGTTAGTTTGTGACCTCAATTCATATAGCAGTTTATAAAGTTTACGTTAAGTCATTGGAAAACAAACTAGGAGACTTTCATGGGAATGTGCTTATAAGTCTCAGTAACAATATAATGAAACAATTTACGAAGTGGATAGGGTATGGTTGAGAAATCATTTGGAAGATGAGCCTTTGGGATTCACGGTCCATTTTCCCATGGAAATTATGTTACGCATATTGAGTGGGATCCCAACCAAGTCTACACAATATCTACTGAATGGACAATTATCATGGAACAAGAGTGAGAAGGTTAATTCATCTATATGTCAAATTCAGTCTACATATGATCATAGCAAGTATGAATACATAAAATTGATTTACTGATTAGTATTAGCTCACAGATTCCACACAACAACTTTCTGAGGTAGGTATTATGATCATCAACTAACAGGGAAAGAAACTGCTTTGTGGGGTTAAAAATAACAACTTGCCCCAGTGTCATACTTCTAATAATGGAGAAATCAATATTTGAATTCAGGAATTATTTAAGTTTAGACTCCATGCTCTTAATTAACTACTGCATGACACCCTCTCTATGCTTTTACAGTCTCTGGGCAGAGGCAGATAAGGGAACTCAAGAAATGAGGCATACTTCCTTCTGTTTTTCCCTGTACAGAAGAAATGCATCCTTCTTTGGTCAATCATTCTACTAGTTTGAAAATGGAGAAAAAAGGACAAGTATACAACTTAGACAATGAGAGGTGTGTGTGTGTGTGTGTGTGTGTGTGTGTGTGTGTGTGTGTGTGTGTGTGTATAATGGGGGTTTATATAGTCTGTTAGTATTCTGGCTGGTGCCTGCAACCTTCTGCTGTCCCAATTCCTTTCTCATTTTAGAATTTTCTACTCAGTGCTTTATGAGCAAGATTTGGCAATGGGCAAGTTGACATGCTATGATATAGTTTACTCATGACCTGGGATTTAAGAGGTTAAATGCCACAGCACAATGCTACCCTGGTGTATTTATGGATTTCGTGAGAGGTTCTGACACTTGTTTTTCCAAACAGGTTAATAGAATCCAGCCTACAGAGAGAAACCACTATATACGCACACTACTGTATGCCATTCTTTGTTTAAGCTTCACACCACAGTGTGAAGCATTGTAGGCTAATTTACATCTATATTGCCTCACATACAAATTCTTACCTGTCCCCCAATTACAAGGAGCTGTTGCTTTGCTGCTTAATCCTTAAGGAGCTATTTAAAATGAACTTAGGGATCTATCCCCTTACAGGTTGTTAATAAAAGATAATTAGGTAGTACTGACTGATTATGTGTCAGGCTAGCTTTGGAATACTTTTTTTTTCTCCAAGCACAAAGCATTGGCCAATGCCATAAAATAAATTCCAGATGCCTCTGACAACCCATGTGCACATTTGAATCTCTTATGGAGGGATACTGAATCTCTTATTAAGAAGTGTGTAGCAGGCAACTTGCACTCATGATGTGACCCTACATGACCTTAGCAACACTCAAGGTTTGGAACTACAGGACATTTGAATGTGGGAGTTAAGATAGTAATATAGATTTAAAAAAAAGGAGAATGGTTCAGGAAGTCAAAAAAGAATGAGAAGCTGTGAGAACTAGAGGAAACAGAAGAAACAAAGGCAAGGGCAGGTGCCAAGGGACAATAGGAGGAAAGGCAGTTGGTAGAACGAGGACAAGGAAATAAAGATAAAGGCCAGAAAATAGGTGATGTCAAAGAAACCTGTATCCTAGGCTTCATTCTGCTATTGCTCCATTTCTCTGGTCCTGAAATGATAGGGAGTTGGAAATGCTGATTACTCTGATTTCATCAGTGCACCAAAATACCCCACTCTATCCCATTACTATGTACAGTTATTGTTTGGTAACCAAGACATTTAAAAGTTGTAAGTAAATTAATGAGAAATAAATATCACTGAAAAATGACTATAATAATCAACATTTGTATGTCTCATATCATTAGCTCATGCCCAATTTCTGGCTCAAGGTTTATTTGCATTTATATATTTAATTGCATATCATTTTATCCCTGTATGAACTGTGTCATGGCAGTGCTCTTTCTTATTAACATACAGAATGCTTCACACCATTATCTAACTTTTTCCCCTTGGTAATGTGGGGTGGGGGTGGAATGATCTTTACAGTCTAGAAGGTAGATTTGGTCTGGAGGTGATGAGATAGGAGTGTCTGCGATGCTTTCTGGAGATCACTTCTCTGAAAGCATACTTAAAGACAACACTACAGTCTTCCTGGAAGGGCCAGGCAAAGTTAAAGCTACCCCAAAGCCAAAGCACACAGAACCACAAACTTGTGTCTTTAAGTAAATCTCATTTGATAGTCCAATACAGAAA